TTCAAGTCCCTCCTTAATGGTTCTTTCATACTTCCCAAGGTCAGCTCTAAGATCAGCTCTTTTACATTGACCTACTGTACCTATCTGTTTAGCATGGCTGCCTTCCAAACTGGTGCCCTCCAAATATATTAATCTCCAACACCTACGGTATTATCCCCAGGCAGGGTGATGGGATCTAACTTGCAACCCATCTGGAATTTACCCAAGTAGGGCAATCTAGATAGATAAATTACGTGACATGTTTCCCCCAAGTTATAATAAATCTTGATGGTTATGTTCACACCACATTAACTTAATTCAGGTAAAAACCTAGCAGTTGCATCAGCATAATATGCAAAGCTTGCTCAGTTTTAACCCAGGTGGGTATCTTTATGGCTTAGGGTGCAGTATGAACTCAGCTGGCTTGGGGAGTATATGGTTTAATCAAGAGGTTGCATAAATTCCAAAAGTGGGATTCATTCATTAACCAGGAATAATTCTCCCCCAGTTCTGTTTAGAAACCAGATTTATACACGGTACTAATCTGTGATTTGTTTTAACCATTATGTATTCACTCGCCTACAATGGGCACACATCATACTAAACCATAAAATCATAATGGCTGAGTTCACATAGCATGATGGGCCAAAATAAATTTTCATAGACAGTTTCCAGGATAAGGGAGCTAATTTCCTGCATTTATCTCCCCATTACTGAGCTGAGTGGGGAATCATACTTCCAAAGTACAGTATCTCCCAGAATTGATGGACCACCTCTACTCTTAGTAATTCGTTGACTATTTAAAATATTTGATTAAAATTAAATCATTGGGTCTTCTAAACAAGGGATCTCAGGATTGTTACTCAAAAAGGCTGTACAGCTACTTCTTTTTTTTTCCTCATACATTTTTCCCAAGAGAAAACATGGATTTTCTCTTAAAAGAAAATAAGGAAAGCAATGGTGGAAAAAGATGGAAAGGTTGCGAGTGCAAGATGGTGTCACTGGACCCCTTGTAAAATGCCTTGAATACAAACAAAAACCAAAAAATCACCTTGGACACTAAAAAAGAAATATCAGTTGCTGGTTTTTTTATTCCTCTTATTTTTCTGCTCACAAACTAACATACTCTTAAGTGTTTTATAAGTGTCCCAAGTATAGTACATAGTAGTAATAATACAGCATTAACAATAATAACATAGCATATTAAAAAGCAGAGACGTCACCTTGCCGACAAAGATCCGCATAGTCAAAGCTATGG